GTTTTTACATGGAAAACCTGTAAAGAGGAAAAACCACGGGGTCTGGCCCAGTTGTAAAAATCCACTATAAGTTGATGATTACAGATGTCCCATGTCTCTCAAGCGGGAAATGATTACTCGCTTTCCAAATTACAAACTCGACTGAAGACGTCTCGTCAGCTCGCGTCAGCGGTGGTTGACAGAGGTCGGCGGTGATCGACGGTAGTGGACGAGAATCGATGACGGTCGGCGGTGGTCGATGGAGGTCAGCGGTGGTTGTCGACGGTCAGTGGCGGTCGTCGACGATTGACGATGGCGAGAATGATCTTGGACTTGAGCTCCTTCTCAAAGCCTTAAGTTCTCTCTTAAGGCTCCTCCCTTCCATGTTAGAGGTGAGACTCTATTTATAGTGTTTTGAGTTCAATTAATGCAGGGATATGAACCATTTTGATCGGACGGTCCGAAGAACTTTCTTTGATAAGATGAAATTTGATGGACATTTGAGTGTCTTAACGATGTCAGAATTAAACAATCTTGGGCTCGTTAGATTCGTCTTGTCGAGACACTCGATTCGACAATAAACTCGCTAGATTTGACATTCATTTGACCTTTCAAATGCCTCCGAAAATCCTCCAATAGTGGTTTAATGATTTGAGCTGGGCTTGATTTGACTTGAATTGTACTGACTTTTATATCATTAGGTCTGTCTCATCGAACCGATCAATTAAACTATAAGTTTGCTGAAAACCGGAGTTCCGAATGACTCTTAATCGAAATTTGAATATTTTTTTATCAAAAAATTATACCAAAATTCGTGCTAACTGATGAAAACCTGTTGGTGAGGTATCACAACCCCATAATATACCAAAGGGCAAGACAAAGAGGGGAAAATGGCGAAAATGCCATTGTTGGTGGATTATTGAGTCGTTGCACACGTGTACTGATGAGATGTTAGGGATCATCCAACTTTTATAATATGATCATGTGGGGAATAGGTGTTCCGGAATATAGTGACCATTAATTTTTCTTTAGTCGTTTTTTTTTAACTGTTGCTCTTTTTTGTATTTGATTTATTTTTATGAGTGCGTTTATGACATTAACGTTGCATTAAAAATCAATGAACATATAAATGAAAGAATCAAGCCTTATTAGAGCTAGATGAGTTCTTACATAAAATCATAGAGATGATTTATCAGTTTAGCGCATATGAAATGTTGTGCCTTTTTTATTAAAAGTTGTTGTAATTTATAGCTTTAGTGTCATCAACTTCAATCCTACTTTAATTTGAGCAAAAAAATCAATAAGCACTAAATTAATTTAAATATTTTATCTTCAAAGAAAAAAAAAAATCTTGCGCCGACTTACGAATTTACCCCCATATTTCAAGTAATTTTCAATCTCATAAATTTCTTTTTATTTATTATTAAATGATAAAGAATAAATAATAATGCATGAAATTAAAAAAAAATGGCCAATTTCGATCTCAAATGAACGCAATTGTAAGATTTACAACGAGGTCTACTTAGATTAGTATAATTGCCGTGGGAGGACATCAAAGTCATATTTTACATATTTTACAAGTTTATTATAGGATGATTTACATACATACCACTCAATTCTTGCATTTACATATCTACCACCTAAACTTCAATTTTTACATTTATGCTACTTCGCCTATGCATGAAAAGGTATATTATATTTCATTTTTTAAAAATTAAAATAGTGATAATTTGGTTATGATGCCAAAGATTTTGGTGGCCTAGACAAGAACATCAAAATTCAGTACATAGATATTGTACGTATGTAAATGCCCCTTTATCCCATATATAATAAAAATAACAATTTAGTTCGCACTACTTTTATTTTATACATATGCATGGAACACCAAACTATATAATGCGTGAAAGAGAGACTACCCAACATGTTATGCCTAAGGAGTCCTTATGCAATTGCATCAAGACTCCAATCAGCGTCTGCCACGTGTACAGGCATAATCACCCACATATTAAATTAATTTCTTTACTAAGATGGGTCTGTTTATACACGTGATAGTCTCTCATTGGAGTCCAGATGCAAACTACATCAGGGTTGTTTATGCAATATTTTTTTCTCGAGAAGAAGATTAAAGTTGCAAAGGGTTCAAACTTTTTAAATTACAAATAGCAACAGTGTAATACATTAAATACTGTTCGGTTTGGAGAGATAAGATGGAATAAGATTGAAAGAAGCCAGTCTTAATCGCACAGTAGAATTCCCACAGGAAATCAACCTCCACAAAAAGCATTACCTTTCAGTCAATTATTTTAACTGTTGCTCAAGCATTCATGATAGAGTACTATTACGTGTTTGAATAATAACGGCGATCATAGAGAATTAGTTTACGTTACATTAAATTTAGCACGCTTATAAAGGAATTAATTGCACCCTATTATGACTATTATTGTGTGCTTGAATGTTTAGGTTATGATCATAGAGAATTAGTTTATGCTACGTTAAATTTAACACTATCGTTGATGATGGATAGGGCTGTCAAAACGGCTCGTTGTTCGCGAGCATCTCGTGTTTGGTTCTTTGAGAAGCTCGTGTTCGGCTCGTTTTGATTTGAAATACTACAAATCAAATCGTTATTTCCCCTTGTGAACTGTGTCCGAAGCTAAATACTACCAATATATATATATATATATCTTTGATGAGTCATATTTAAAAAAAAAAAAACTAATTGACTACAAGGCTACAAAGATTTATAATCAATTAAAAGTATTAATGAAGAAAATAGAATAAAAATTGTTTAATCGGATTCAAAGTATGTTTTAAATTTTGTCACAATCCTTAACATTTTATGATTACGTGATTAGGGTTGTCAAAATGACTCTTTATTCGTAAACGGCTCGTGTTTGACTCGCTAAGCAAACGAGCCGAACACGAACACAATTTTTGAGCTCGAAATATAAACGAGCCGAGCACGAGCTAAGGTTGGGCTCGCTCGTGTTTGGCTCGTTTACACCCCTAATGATGGACAATCATCAAATGTGGTCAATGACAATCATGATTTATATTACATAGAAATTAAATGCATATGAATGAATAAATTGTAGCACATAAAATCGTTATAATGTTTTCAACTTCATATTCTATTCTCCACCAAAAGTTTAAGAAATATTTTCAACTTCATATTATATCTTCTATTTTGAAGCTTGATTTCTTAGTATATATAATAATGATAACCTAAATATTTTCTTAAGGAATATTTATCTTGCTAATTTATATTTCCAATTAAAATGTTTTGAGAGTAACTTTAGAGAGAATTCAAGCAATAGTTATTTATTAAATTCTAAAAATGAATTTTTTTAAATAGAAAAGGTAATTTATCTTGAAAAATTGTCTTTTTGTGTATAACAAATGTCATGCATAATCTCATTATTATAAATGTTTTCAAGTATGTAAAGAAACAATTCTTATATTACATTAACTATTTAATTCAAATATATGGAAATTTATGTAGGCAACACACAATTCTTATGTATCTACATGTCTCGCATGTAAAAAGTCATATTTACAAACATGATAATTTGGTGTTTTAAACTTATGGATGAGAAGGTGTATTTCACTTTTAAAAAATGATAATAGTTCTATTTTTTAGGTGATATATTAATTATTTTGAGTGCTACATGTGTAAATATGAAAGTTTAAGCCTGAAATATGAAAATACATAAGAATGTCTATGTATATAATTGCCCCTAAAACATAATTTGATTTCAAATATTATCCGCAAGATGAATTATGCATTCAACTATTATATATATATATATATATATTTATATATATA